CTGTAAGCCGCTCAGAGAGGGCTAAAAGCCCTAGGAAGCGGTATATAAGTCTAACTGCTATTGCTTGAGCCGGGGGCTGGACTAGAAGACCTCCAAGGCCCCTTCCAACGCTGTGATAGAGGGAAGGGGAATGGGCAGCAGGTGCGTCTGGCCGTTCAGTGAAAGCCTTCCTTGGCCTGTTCTCCCCCTTTCCCCCCCCCCTTGAAGGTGGCTCCTCTACATACTGATCACCAACTGGTGCCGGAGGCGACTCCAAGCCGAGTTGAAGATCCAGTCCTTCTGGGTGTTTGGGATCCAAAACCTCAGCCTGAAGTTTCCAGAGGAGCAGCAGACGGTGGTGAGTAAAGGACCTTCTTGTAGCATCTGTTCACCTCTGGGCAGGTCCCTGCAAGGACCACCGTAATTGCTGTGATTTATCTGTTTATTATTTATGAGGCCGACCCATCTCCCTGTTGAAGCCACGGCAGGGACTATTGTGGGAAGCTGGAGGGTGGTTTTCTCTGCAGGCAGATGGGTCACTCGGTTCCTGCGGCATCTGCGGCACAGAGAGGGCCTCCTTTTGAGTAAAGAGATACCCGGGGCTGAGGGCAGACGGCCTCTGTAGGCCCCCCATGTGCAAAGTTGTGGAGACTCTAGGAAGAGCGCAGAGAAGAGCAACCAAGAGGATTGGGGGACTGGAGGCCAAAACATACGAAGAACGGTTGCAGGAACTGGGCACGGTTAGTTTGATGAAAAGAAGGACTAGGGGAGACATGATAGCCGTCTTCCAATACTTGAGTGTTAGTACCTCTTTACAATGCCTTGGGAAGATCACGCTTGGAATATTTCATCCAGTTTTGGTCACCACGTCACAAAAAAAGACGTGGAGACTTTGGAGAAAGTTCAGAGAAGAGCCACCGAGATGATCAAAGGCCTGGAGACCAAAACATAGGAAGAACGGAATTGCAGGATTTGGGTTTTTGGCCAGTCTGGAGAATAGAAGGACCAGGGGTGACATGATAGCATCTTCCAATATTGAGAGTTGATACTGCTTCATAATGCTTTGATAACACCAAAGTTGGAATATTGCATCCAATTTTGGTTGCCACCCAAAAAAAAAAGATCTTGAAATTCCGGAAAGGGTGCAGAGAAGAGCAACAAAGATGATTTTCCAATTTCCGATTTAATAAAATTTGTATGCCACCCACTCCCTTAGGGACTCTGGGCGGCTTACAGACAGATAAAAAACATTTAAACGTTTTAGGAGACTGGAGGCTAAAACATATAAAGAACGGTTGTTGGAATTGGGAATGTCTAATTTAATGAAAAGAAGGACCAGGGGAGACATGATAGAAGTGTTCCAATATCTCAGGGGTTGCCCCAAAGAAGAGGGAGTCAA